ACAAGACTCTGAGTTTGCTTATAGTTCATTTACAATAACAATAACTAAAACTTCCTATATTTAATGAGATTCTTAATCCAGCTTTCTGTTTTAGTATTTTTCTGTCGTCTGGTTCTGACGTCTAGGTAAGTTTGGCTGAATTTTTTGTTTTCAGTCGACTGTTCGACATTTTCAGCAGTAGCTCTTTCTTAACCTTTATTTAAATCGTAATAATCTCGGCCTGCAAGGAACAGAAGGCGTTGTAAATGGGTTATTATTCACTTAGATTAAACAATCTAAGGTTATTCACTGGTTGAAAGAAGATATACTTCTGTATACTAATTCCTAAAGAATGCAACACAGCAACTTGGTACTTTCTTGAAAATATTACAGCTGCAATAAGGAAAACGGTGATCATGTTTGAGTCACGATTAAAAAGTAAAATAATCTTCAAGATAACATTTTACTGAAGATGTTTATTTATAAGAAAATGTTAAATATTTTTAATTTCCTTTTTATATATTTATACTAGCTGACCCGGCAAACTTAATTCCGCCTACAATATTTTTTCTCACCTTTTAAACCTTCCCTGGACTTCCACGAACATTTCAAGACCAAAATCAGCCAAATCAGTTCAGCCGTTCTCGAGTTTTAGCGAGACTAACGAATAGCAATTCATTTTTATATATAAGAAGATTTGCTCAAGTAGATCAACAGACATATAATAAATTAAGAGTGTAGTGCTGCATAAATGTTACGTTACGGAAATAATTAAGAAATTGTTTTGCAATAGTGCATTTCGTAAAAGTCTGTCTCAAAATGGCTGCCGGCTGAAATGTAAAAAAGTGTATAAAAAGTCTTACCGCCGTATTAAGTACAATGTTGTTAGAATGCCGTCTGGTAGATTAGGTTTACGGTTTTCCTAATGACTTTAGTGTCGTCTGGCAAGAATGCTACGTCTAATGCCTTCTAAGTACCTACGTTCGTCAAGTCCAAAGGTTCGTCTATTTCGCGCACGTGGTACCTAATTGAATGGTGTGGCGTAACAATTTATCTTCTTTGTTTATTTTGGTTTGTATCTACAGATGGGTCTGGATTTTAATGATAAGATTTGTAGACTTATATTTATTATCTTATCTTTGTTTCCGCATGTTTGACTTCATCTAATTTGTAAAGGATTTAACGAAAGATAAAATATGGCACTAGTTTCGATCGTGGTGTTAAGCGAGTAATGTAAATAGAGGTATAATCTTTTCTTGGAACGTAGTACATTTAGCTGTTGTAAGTTTAAAGTACATAAACCTAAAGCTAATTTGTTTGAACTATCGCTAAGTGCATAGTTAGTCGGAATACAATGTCGTATAATGCATGGGTTACCTTGAACTCACGTGGGACGGTGGCAGTTTTATCGATTCCTTTTGATTTGTTATACTTCATGTAGTTATTGTACACATATAACCTATTTCAGGTGGCCGTTTCGTATTATGCAACTTCCTCTGCTCATAATATTTCGCAACAGTAAAGCGAAACGTGTCAAATGATGCAGGAAATATTTACGTATTACCGGAGGAGTAGAGGAGAAATATCTAGTAGTCAGATTTATTGCTATTATTTTGGTCCTTCAATATAAATGTAATTTAGAGAAGTTCTCAGAATCTCAGTATTTATTAAGAAATATTAGGAAAATAAATATTTTACCATGAGAAACTGTGATGTGTGTATGCCAACTTTTTAGAGAAAGGAATTGAATTTTCGTCATGGAACCAATAAAAAACCTAACTTAACAAGAATGATGAATCAATGCTTTAAATAATCTGGTCTATAATAAGATTGTCGTCTTCCTGAGAGCTTACCGAGGCTTTTTGCTCCGGTGCATCTTGAAACGAATTTAGCTTGGTGCATCAGTACGCTGGTAGTCATCGAGCTAAATAAAGATTGCTTTTATAAAGACTTCCAAAGCAATAATTATCCTTCTTTTATTTGTTTGGTATAGGCCATGACCGTGTTATTATTTTCTCATTTACGTCACTTGTTTATTATTCAAGTGTTCCCGATAAGTTCATTTATTAGAAGCTGTAGTTACTTTAGTTTTGTCAATATATTCAATTGTTATTTGGAGTTTGTGAAAACACACGACAATTTTTTCTTCCTTGTGGGAAACTTTTGTTCGTCCCTAAAAGTTTGGAATAAAGTTATTACCTGTTGCCAACTATGCCAAAGTTTGCGGGTGTGGGTGTGGATCCTCGCCCTCTCCCGTACTTCATTCTGAAAAGGGGACAGTGACGTCGACCTCGACGTATTCAGACGTATCGATAGCTACAACGCATGCGTAACTGTTTGTCGATGTGTGAGTAAACTGTCTGGTGGAGCACGCGGTCAGTGCGTGCTCCTCTTTCTGTCTCGCTTAGACCGCATATCTGCATCCTCTTCGTGGGCGCACGCTACGACTGGGGAGCACCGGTAAGTTTAAAATACCACCGTAGCGAGGGTTAGCGCTCAGTGGTGATCAAGCTGCGCTTCTGTACAGACGAATTCTTACCCTGTGTGACATTCGCTGAAATTGTTGTGAATACTTTTATTGTATTGTAGACTTGTGGAGGCTGCTAACTACATTGAAACCTTGAGTCCCCGCCAGCTACAGCTGTTGCGAAATATTTATTGTGACTAGGTAAGTTTCAAAATATTTGGAAAGCATGAATTTTACCAAATAAATTTAATGAAAAAGTAAAGGATAATCGAACAAGGATAAAGGGTTTACGATGCAGCGAACATTCTGGTTTAACTAACGGTAATGGACAGCAAATGGCCGACTTGTTCATCGGCGGGCGCTTTCTCTCTCGACGAGTGGTCTGGCTTAGCTATGACAGGCTGGTTAAACTAAATCACTTTCCATTGCACAAATAACTTTTGTGGCGCCTATCATTTATAACTCGCTGCAATTAGTAGGAAATAAATTTAATAAATTTTCCTTTCTAATCGAATTAATCAGAAATAGATTGATAGAGACACGTGCAAAATAACGTGAATCAATTATGTCAAAATTTTAATTTGTGAATTTTAATGTCATATTTATGTGTTTTAATTAAAAACTTAACCGCATAGTTACTGAAGAATGTATAAATGTAACGCTCGACTGGCAACGTAACTGACGGCTTGATCCTTCGTATTGTGTCGTCCGATAGTTTTGTCCACTTTTACCTGCTCATTTTTTGTCACGAGGGTAACAGCATTGTTGTCTCGAAACACACAAAACGGGAAATCACCTGCATTTCGGGTAATTCAAAGAAAAAAATCTTTTGAAATTCAAGTAGGTACTTAACAGAAAAAGCGACTTGTGCAAAAAAGGGTTTTTTATCAAGAATACAGGAATTCCTTATTTACAGATATTGTTTGTTTATTATGGGATAGGTGAATCACCTTCCTTTCATTGGGTCCAAAGATGGAAAATTACCTCAAAAACGTATGTAATTACTAAATGTCCTTCTGACGTGTTCACGAATTCAGCTGTTCAAACACGAACGTCATAAGACCTTTACCTTACGGCCTGTTAATATAGGAAACGAGATGACAAAACCCAGATATATTTAAAAATAAACCTTATACGTAAATAATCAGAGATTTATTTAGATCGTCAATAGAAGAATTTTATGGCAATAAATCGCGATGCCCGTATCTAGGTCACCGACGGCGGATCGCTTGAGCAAAAATGTTTCAGTATAATCGCGAATTTTCTGGAAGAATGCCACTTACAAATTAAGGATTTATTAACGACATTTGTATGAATATATAATTAGCTAATCACTGCACTAAATAAATGCATATTTTAGTGTTTGTTAGTTGTTATAGTGAAAAATATGAACGTTCTTGCACATGACCGTTCTTCAAAAATTGCCCAACGCGTTTGTTATGAAACAGTAGTACACTCGGATATCGCAGCTGGTGGGAATAAGGAAACTAAAACTATTTTATCTGTAGGTACAAAATATTGATGTTTTGTCACCAATTTAAATTATTTGAAGGTCCATACAAACATAATAAATAATGAAAAATGTATGGCTAAAATCAACTCGTTTTTATTAAAAATTTTTTATTCACTTCCTCAGACTTAAGTTGTATTTTAATTTGTAGTTTACAACATATATATCGTATTTTTTTTGTAAGTACCTCTATGTATGTCTAACCCGTCCTCTCTCTGGTCTAAAAATTATCAAAATTGATTCACTAGTTCAAGAGTTACAGTTAGATAAATAAACTTAAATATACATTTGTAAAATAAAATAAAATAAACCGTACAGGTTTTAAAGTTTCATTTCCCAAAATCTCAGTTATTATTTTGGGCAACCAAGGGACAGAGCTATCGAACCCAAAACCACTTAATCAGTAACCGCGCTTGAGGCCACTCAACCAACTGGACAATCGATAATACTGAAGACGTATAATCTCTAAATTGTACTTTGAATCTTGCTCAAGTATTGAGTCTCACGATCGTTTAACTAACTGTGTCCTTTTGAATGTTAATCTGGTACTAATTAATTACTAGACACAAACAATAATACAATTAAATAATAATTACTTTATTTACTATTTAATGTCACTTGTAATAACAGACCATCTTGGGTCAAGGACTAAACCAGTAATGATTTCTAAAATAGCTGCATAAATTATGAAGAAAGTTGGAAACTTTACATCTAGATATTCAGATTAGGCTGGACTGCTTCGTCGATAAAGTGGTTGCAAGTGCCTACGGAGCAAAATCACCTCGTTTTCGATTCATAGTTAGTAGAATTTGGGCTTCTTTTCTGAATTTTTATTGATTTATGGACTCATTGTGTCCATTGTCTGACAATAGGGTGGCTGGGTTGCCTTCTATCGGTTGGGACCCCTTACATAACTGGAGAAATATCATAGTTAATAATGTCTAAACCCTTCCGAAAATAAGACACCCTTTGATGTGTTACTTTCATATTAATACAATTCAACGTGTTCTTCCATAGATTTGAGAAATTTTGAAGATAAGAAAGATGCTCGCCAGCCCTGCCATGGAAATGCAAGTTGAGGAGACTCCCTTGGCTCTCCAACGCCTGTGGAACCTGACTAGAGCTCGTTTGGCCGGTACATCCACTCTTGATGTGGAACCAGCTCTTGGAGAATCTTTACCACCAGCTCAGGTAAGGAGAAGATGGGTTTCAAATTATAAGTTTTGATTGAGGTTACTGGAAGGTTAATAGGCTCAACTATTTTTTCTTAACAGAACAAAAGCGTCCTAACATCAGGATTTTTTCTTATGTCATATCTCATCAGACCCAGCCCTGAATTTGTGGATGACACATGGAAATGTTCGATGCGGGAAACTCCTTAGTAACATTTTGGAAAGCTGCTTCTAACATATCAGTCAATTATATGACTAGTATTGTTGCATTAATAATGGAAGTTAAATAAACTTTGCACAGTCGTTAATGACGTTACAAATCAAACAATAATTAACTAATTAAATAATTATTAAAGGTTAGTTCTTAGAAATGGAAATCCAAAGAAATCCAAAGTTTGTCTTTTACTGATCAGGAATTTACACGATAAGAGATTCCTTATAGATGAGTCATATAGCCGCAATTATGGCGTCTGCATTCCAGTAAAAAAGTTTCTTATCGATTTTCAACTTTGAAACGAAATAATAAAATTGAAAACGCATTGAAATAATTTTGCAGTTACTTGAAATTTGATATGCTAGTGTCCATAACATAACATTTTTAATTAATGTTATACTTACATGTAATAAATAATCTCTCAGTAAGTCAAGGGCTACTGATCTGTCCTCTTTTCTTATCAGTGATGCGCACATTCTCCTTCATAACTCATTCAAGATAATTTCCTACTTTATTTAGCTAGTCATAGGTATAGTCAATGAGTCATATTATACGATGTTATAAAATACCTTGTCTTGTCTCAGGAGTTCGAAGGCACCCCGAAAGCCTTGCTGCCAGCTCCCAGCGACTATGAAAGCGATGGTGAAGAAGCTTTCCCAGAGTTAGAAATACCTGTAAGTATATGATTGTGTATTTTCAATATTCTCATGCTATTTTTATAAAATTCAATTTTGTTCTGCCTCAACATCACGTCTCGATGTTTGGGCAGAAAAAATCTTGGCAAAGAATACGGGGCGTGGTTTGACGGATGTAATGCGAGAGATTACGTTGTAGGTGGTTTTCTACATAAATATTACAGCATACGGATGACGGCGATGTAGTGTATAAATACTCGTTTTATTTCTCGTGAAATTCAAGTGATTGAGTTTCGTATACCTTCTCATGTTTGGTAAATATAGTAGCGGATAGCGATATGCTCACTATGTTTGGTATTTCGTCATGTATAACAGATTTGCTAGTCCAATGTTTACTAATTTTGTAAAGTATGTCATACGGGCCTCACGTTTATCGCTTATCAATGTAGTAGCACGTCACGACGACTCCCCCGCGTCTAGACAACGAAGGTATAAGACGTTTGATAACACCTCTTGAAATAAGAGACGTAATACAATTAGTCGCAGATTGCAGACACGCGTTCCTAGCATTTGAATGTCTTCAAATTGATTTCGCATTTATCATGCTTCGCCGGCTCCTTATTCATGCGGTCCTCTATTAAGGTCGATAACATAAACTTGATAGGCTTCCGACGTTATCAATTTCCGGAGGTCGTAGCCTTCATGAATGAATTAGAACAGCTAAAAAAATAACAATACAAAACTAGTTTCTTCTAGCAAAAAATCGTGTAGGAGCAACGGAATTTGAACAGATCAACGCGCCGAAATAGCTCGCGAGGAAATGCAACTAAAAATAGGTTTTACAATTTCCACGGACGAATGGACTTTGATCCTATTTGAGATAAATAAACAAATCAATTTGCCATGATTGCCGACGCACGAACCATGACTTGTACAGGACTTCACCCCATAGCAGTAATGGCGTTCAATGAATCTCAATTACGGCTTCAATTGGAATACAATGATGTCTTTGTAGTTATAAATAGCTGTCGACATTCCTTTTCCCTTACTGTTCTATGTCTTTTGTTGTACAATACTAGTATTGGCTATTTAGGTACTTGAGATTTCTAGGATTAATATAATACCTAACATCAAACTTTATTTGGTATATTATTATGTAATAGAACAACATCTGATGATTGACACGAGTTGTCGTAAATAAAAAAAAAACACAACGACGTAATTTTTCTTCACAATGAAATTGGCAGCAGTTTATGAAACATCACATGGGCGCCTAAGCATTGCCAACTAGGTACTTCTCATTATTAGACTTGATTCCTTTATTCTTTGAAGAGACCGACGACCGTAGACAGGTCGGTGCACCGGTCACTTAATAAAAACAAAGAGAAAACAGTCAAAATGTTAGCACTCAAAGTATCTTACGATGATTTTGAGAGTTTTGAGGAAGTATTTGAAGACCCAGACTGGCCAGATGTACGGATATGTTATGAATAAAGTGATGTGTGTGGTGAAGTCTTTAGATTGTATTGCAGAACAGTGTACAAATGTGTGTGTATTTTTGTAGGAGGCGACCGACGTGCCTAGCAAGGGTTTCTGGCCTGACAGTGCTTACACGAAGGAGGTTCTGTTGGACGCAAGCTCGTTGGGCGATGTCCCTGCCGTGTACCGCGTGCCGCAACCCGCTCCCCATCAGATGCCAGTCATTGGCGTGTACATCGACCCCCGCGTCAGAACCGGCTTCCGTTACAAAGTTAGACCCATGCAGGTGAGACCAGTGATTTAATTTATGTCTAAACATTGTCGCAAATATAAATACTCGACTCGCTGGTCTGTGGGAAATTGTCTCATTATAGCTAAGAAGTGTTGATGATTGCGTTGACTAACCGTAACTCACGCAATCTTCCACATTTCAAAACTTTAAAGATATAAATGTGAAAATCAACAATGATGACCACTTCTCACACGATCTCATTGAATGTTGCTTAACCATCGACAAATCTGTTATGTAAACAATCTGGGATCGCTTTTGTATCATCAATGTCGAGCTTCCCTTGGAACTCAAACAGAAAAACGACGAAGATCCATAAAATGGGGCAAAATTATTACAAACTGGACTGTAAAAGAAACGACTATGTCGATAAAAGATACTTTAGTTAAATTAGTAGTCATAACCGCTGTCAAGACATAATATTGTGCTAAACATTCCGTTTCACATTACTACAAGAAGCTCTTTGTTGATAATAGACGTCAGGTGACTATTCTTTGTTACTTGTAATTTGAATTACAAAGCCTTAACAAATTAGAAAAAAAAAGAATCGAAGTAAATCGGTTGTGGTTAGATAAAGAACATTTTTGCAAGAATAATCCTTTTCAGAGTCATGCGGACGGTGAGTTTCTACATGTCTTACAGAAATGTTCATGGAACAAACGAAAATTCTTGATACAAATTGGCCATACCTCCGAGAAATATAATCAATTTAAAGATCAATTCAAAAACACACCTAAATAAGAATCTTCGTAAAGTTCCATTGTACGTAGCCACAATCGATAAACACCTTACTTTTATAATTAAGTAATTAGTAATCTTTGATAGACTGATAAACTCCAAAAGCACGATACGTAAGGTTGTCATAAAAACGCTTTATTTGATGCTCTACAGAAGATTAGCTTACTTAAAACTTCCTAATTAATTATAGTCTATAAAGTATATATTTAAAGTGAGTTCAATCGCACCTACAATAGAAATGTGCTTGTATTCATGTCTTTCATTTTCTAAAGCAGTTTATTATTGTAATGGCAACCTTATGGATGTCTAGACAGACAGTTAGTGAGTAAGATCTGATATTGATCCAATGTTGGAAATAATTCTGGAATATTCGCTAGTCGATTTCAGCAGTCCAGGGGATTTCGGAACAGTACTAGATTAGTGGGGTGTTAGTTCAGTGAGTAGCGGTGTCCGTTGCTGACATTTCCAGAGTGAAAATATCATCAACGACCAGCACTGTTGACTTGCGTGTATATGCCACTGGTTGTGTGCACTTGCCGTTGTAGGCGATGGTATGTGGATCGTCCAGTTTTTCAGACCCTCGCCCAGAGCGGCGTTGACATACAAACTTCAAGAAACCTGCAGTGACCCGACAGGTTGAAAGTGACATACTGGCTGGCCGCATGTTATGTCCACAATAGGTAAACCATAAGTATCATTCATAAGGGCATTATGCCATTGTTAATCATATCAATGTTCTATTTCAAAAACTTACTTTTTGGTGGTCTTGATATGATTATTTTTTTCATTTCATCGTGAATGTAAACATGGGAAATATCAAATTAATGGAATGTTCATTATTGTAAATCACAATGTCCTCACGTAACATCAACACATGTATTGCTAGACGTGTCTAATCGTACTCGCATCAACTTTACTATGATTGGAAAAAATAGTCATAACTGATCACGAACTTGATTTTGAGAAGCAATATTTTGTAAATTAAATGGTTGTAAGTGATTAGAATACCAAGTGTAATTAATTTTCTTCTATGTTATTAACTACTAAAGTATTTTTTAATAATAGTTGAAATTAAAATTAGGAATTAAAGTTTAGTACGAGTCTTTAGAAAGTTTTGTAACATGATGAGTAATGTTGTATTTAATTTTCCAGGCTCTGGATGCCCCTCCCCTATCTGTGAAGCCGAGATACTTGTTCGGAGGCAAGGCTCTCACCCTGCAATCAATTGGCCGTGGTTATGCTCGCCGTCTAACATTTGAGCCTGTTGGATCCAAACTGAATGAGAATGACAATTTCTTCTGGACTGACTCCAGGCCTGAAGGATTTTTGTTTGAGATTGAGGCTGTATCTGTTGGAGACAAGTTTACTATCTACGATGCTAACCATGAACCGCAGGGTATCCTGGAAGTGGTTCAGCAACAGGTAAGAAATGAATCTATTTTTTATAAACAAGCACCCTATATCTTTCTTGTAGGGACATAAAGCTTTAACAAATACCTTTATTACTTATTGCAGAAAAATCAAATTGAAATTGAGCAGAAGATTCATGAGAACGGATCCATTGACAAGAAAGTCAAGATAAACACTCTTTGCAAAGTTGAGTGGTATGAAAACGATGGTGCTACGAAATTGGTGCCTGTGACCGGTGTCGCAATCTTGAAGAAGGGCAGAGGAAACGCAACGGTGTCTAGGGTGGTTAATGTAGCCATCGGCATCAAACAACTCAAGAAGGGTTATGAACTCAAACCCGGCATTGAATCTTCCTCCAGGAGGGTTACCGTCAACGGTGGTGATATTAAAGACATTCCTTGCCAGTATTGCATTGTCGGTTTAGAAAAATATGAACTTCCCGCCATTGGTAATTATTATTTTCTTGTCATACACTTAAAACATAGTAGATGTTATGAGACAGCATTTTTAATTTTTTCATCTCCTTTTAGGAACCTACGTAGATCCCCGTATCGTTCCCGGCTTCTACTACCGCGTGCGGCCAGCTGGCAGCCGGAGACATCTCTTCCAGGGCCGTAGCTTGCTACTGCAGTCTATTGGCATGGGATACGGAAAACGCATTACCTTCAAACCCGACTCTCTTAACGAGCCTGAGAACTATTTCTGGTCCGACTCACACCCCGAAGGTATTGGGATGGAAACGCGGGCCATTCATCCTGGCATGAAGTTCACGGTCACAGGAAATGGGGTTAGTAAATTAGTTACATATAAATCTGGTGCCGGTTTGATTTCCATGAAAATTAAGATATCAACTTTTGGAAGCTAACATACCAAAATGTTCAACAAAATTACACATACATACATAGCATTAGAATCAAGATGATAAATACATAGTATCAAAATCTGAAAATGCTTCTTGGCGGGTAGCCATTTTATAGAAAGTGATTTGAGATAAAACATATAAAAGCTTGTCGACTCATTTGTTTACATTTACTTGTTTATAATGGTGTCAGAGTTCAAGATACTTTGGCAGAAGGACAATTTCTAATGCATTTTACTTTTGGCTTCTAGCCATAAATATAACCTTGGCAGTTGTTTTAGAATTTGTTTCTATTTTTATTCATGTTATTTGTTTGGTTTTTCAGGGTCTGTTGGGAGAAGCAAGTGTATTCCGTGCTGATTTGCCCCAAGCTGAGGAAAAGACAGAATATGTGGACGTGCCGGGAAAGCGAGGAAAGGCAGTCGAGAAATACGTTCATGTGGATGTGACATGTCACGTAAAGCTGGCAACCACAGGAGGCGGTTCAGTAGACTCTGAAGTGCATCTCATGAAGGTGTCAGGAGTGGCACTGGTCCGCAAAGAACCGGGTGAAGTTGTCGCAAAACTTGTGAAGGTCTTCAATGTCGGTTTGGACTCCCAGTTGAACCTGTTGTTCGCGCACTCACAGACCGAGCTGACCTTCCATCCCCTGCCCTAAACGTATCACGAGCTCCGAATGGTGTTGCAATATCTGTGATGGCAGTCGTCTCACACAGAGGTATTGTAATGCCAAAAGCTTACCTGGCGCGACATAGGTTTCGTCAAATGCCAACCGATTGGTTTCGAGTCTGCAACCGAGATGGTCTAATAGATAGGCCGATGCTGTTTGCGATTTGGTTGCACGCTCGTTCAGCTGCTAGCTGCTAGCTCAACAGTTTACCTGGACCATCACCATCAAGCTCCAGTTTTACCACCATCGCTGTGAAGATTGCTATAGTAACGACACAACCATGACATTGCATCAAGAACATCATCTCAGTGAAATTGACATGGTGATTGGTGAAGTCTACGTCTTTTAACAACTAAGACGTATTGTGTCGATTATAAAGTTACTATAAGTACTTTCCAAAAGCAAAGGATTTATCAGTATTTTAATTTAATCGTTCGTAATTTGTTATTTTAAAAATGAAATCAAATTAGAATTTTGAAATATTGTACCGGAGAGAGTAGTAAAAAGACTAGTGTTATCGCTGTAATAAATAATTACCGTTTTGGGACATTATTTAATTTGTTATTACTATTTCCTCGAATATTATATATATACATAAATAAATAAATCAAATTATTTTATTCAATTACTGTTTTTATTTTTCCTAACTCCAAGATTTGACTCGTCTCATCAACTCAGAAGATATGAATTTTTTCAGTCCTAATCCTTAACGCTATGACTATGAACACTTGTTAAAGTAAAATTAAAACTGAAAGATGTTTATATATATTACATGCACATAATGTTTGTCTTGCACAGTAGCATTATGTACTTACTTAAGTTTGAAGAATTCATTACAAGTGTGTTGGCATCTTGATATATTCCTTAGAACTACAAGAGAGGATATCTACCATTACAATTCATAGATGGCACTACAAAAGTTTCAAAAATAATGATTTAGAATAGAGGGCGCTGCCTGCAACTATAATATGTTAGTCCAGTGTTGCCCTCACTTCAAAAGTCTGTTTACACGTTTCAACTAAATACCGTTAGATGGCGTTGTTACAACAATAAGTTTCGAAGTTTATGAGGTCAGTCGCCTCTACCACGAGCGCGCCTTGCGAGCGCCGAGCCGTGTAAAACAAGTTATGACTACGTAGAGACAGATACGAGCTGAGTTTAGCGGGAACTCTCTGTCTGACTCGGCCGGCGAACGTCAACCGCGCTGGGGGTCTCGACGTCGCACGACACAACTATACGAAAGTCGCGATGTGCCAAATAATAACTGGGAGACAGTGAATTGGTGCGATAACACGATTTATAACACGAATTTATTACGAACGGTGAGCACTATGGCTGAAGTTAGGTGCGCTAGTGTTTTATTTATGTGCATTTTATATAGTGTCACAAGTTTTAACCTGGAACCGAGGATTCCTGTGATAAAGTTCGGAGAGCCAGGCTCTTATTTTGGATTTTCTGTTGCGGAACACCTCACCATCAACGGTGATGGATCAAACATAAGTTGGTGAGTGTTGATCTCTTCGTAAGCGTAACTTATCTAGCAGTAATGAGACCTCATGATGTCATATGTGAAGGTCGCCGCCTTACATACATATGGCATATCGGTCTGTTGATTTTGTTTTCTTGAATATACGAAAACTTATGTTCGAGTATGATATGAAAATTATCAGAATTTCTTATCAAGAATTTATGAAGTCATTGTAAATTATAGTACCTGTATATGGAACTCGACTTGTGTGAACGCTAAGTAAACTTGTTTAATGAGTTACATTATATGCAACTTGTAGTTACTTGGCTCTGTTTATAAAACAGTCTAGACCGAGAAATATGTCACGTGGAGTATTTCTTTTAAGTACTTCAGTCAAAGAGCTTTTATCGACGTTGGAGACAATAGCCTCTTAAAAATACAATGGTCCAGTAAGGACTTTAACTTGAACGGAACTGATAAACAAAAAGTTGTCTCCTGGTTCTCTCTGTCCTTACCTGTCGTACCGGGACTTTAAAGGGTTTAAAAAAGTACTTACCTGAGAGTTTTGGGTCAAATAATAGGAGCTCATAGTCATGAAATAAGATTTAAAGAGAGTTATAAAAATGTATGTGCAGTAAATTTAAAAAGTAAGTAATCTTATAAAGTAAGCTCTTCCGTGTTCTCTAGCTGTCTGATGAATGGACACGTATATAAACTGTGGAATATATAATGAATGAGTGGAATACATCTAGATACGAGAGTAGGGCTGTGACCTAGTGCGGGAGCGGCGCCAGACCGAGCATTGCACTCAGCTGGCGGAGCTAATTCTGCACTATCACGTGCACTTCGGATATGTCACTGATATTGATCGATATGACGATATGTTATGTGTCACATCACTACAGCGAAAGAGCGGAATATATTTCAGGAGTTATGAGAGTTGTCAGACGCCGTTTCGGAAATATATTGCGAAATTAATTTACACTAGTCTGAAGAAATTCTGAGCTTCCGCAGGAAAGTCGTACGTATTTTAGTTAGAGTTGGATGTGTAATATTTTGATTAGCGTTTGACTTCTGCAATTTGGTGGACAGATAGGTTACTCTTACTTATCTTGAAGATAGTTATTTTTTTATCATTAACATTATTGACTTCGGTCATTTCGTCAAAAAAGGACCAAATTATAAATTAATGCCAATTCCTGAGGGTTGGCGCCAAAAACCCTTGTTTAGTTGCCAGTCGAGGACAGAAATGCATTTGGCACATAAAGCCTGCTCATCTAGCAGTTACATGAATATGCAATTCTTTAAAAACATATTTACAGCTTCAACTATAAGATGAACTTCATAAGATTTTTACTTACTAACTGAAACGAATATTTCCTTTTAGGTATTGTATGTCTTATCAAATATTAAAAGCGTTAAGTACAAAATTCCGAGAAAGGAAGAAGTAAGTAAATGCAAAATTGATAACAAAATGTTCTTAGAATCCGAAAACAGCTCCTAGTCATGCAAATAGCATGACACATTATTAATAGACACTCGATACAGATGAATCGTCCAGGAAAACCTGCGTCTATTGCTTTGATGAAAAACATGTTTGTTTGAGGAGGGAATCTTCCATTAGTTGATGGGTGACCTACTAAGCAGGGGGCGGAAGGAGATGAGATTCGCTCAAAGATCACATTGTGCAAATGTTTACTTATAATGACCCAGTCACACAGTGATTGATTCTTTGAAATTGTAGGTTACAGAAGTGCATATACTTAGAAGTCTATAGTCTATTCTCTGACTAAGCAACTAGCAATTTGATATGTAGAAACTGTAGGTATTAAATCAATCTTAGTCAGCTAACGGTTGTTTGAACAAGTTTTTGTTACACCTAACTCAACTGACTGAAATTGCAGCATAGAGAATAGTTACGTAGTGCAAAGTATAATTATGTTTTGGCCGTGTATTGTGTTGGTAATTAGAGGTCATTTTAGTATCAACAGTTCAAGGACCTGTTATATTAGCAGTTGTTATCGAAAAGGAAATTCAGGATGAGTCAGCTAGTCTCGTTTGCTTTTCACTAGATTTGTTCGAGCGTGTCTGAATCTGGAAGAGATCCAACGTCTACTCGCGGGTGGCACTAGCAATATATCCTCGACCCACTCTTTATTTATATCCTGACCGAGATGTCACTGCGCTTAGAACCGCCAAATATTTTCAACTAAATCTTCTTTTACTTCAGACATAAGGCATATAATCGTGTGACTTTTATGTACTTTTATAGTCCTAACATTAATGAAGTCTCGGTTTTACCAATTGGCGTTATCTTTTTGATTGTTATAAGATCTCAAGTCTTTTATACACATGGCGGCATTTTTTTCACTGTTGTCAATGTTTCTAGGAATATGTTCTATGAGAACATTACGTTTTAATTGAGAAACACATGGTGTGTTCATTATGGAAGTAATGTATCTTCCTTTTTTACGTAGTAATAGTAACGTACTTTAACGAGTCGTGGAAGTTTTTAAACGCCATTCGTTCTTGAAATAAAAAATAAATAATATTATTGATTTATGAAGCACAGCGTGGTTAATTTAATTTTCAGCAAAAAACATTTATTTACATCCGAAGTGCCGATGGTTGCTTCTCAAGATATGGACGATGCAAGACAAAATATTTGTTCTGCCTTATCTGCGAGACACATCGATATTTATTGACGGCATCGCGTTTGCATTATAGAACCTATATGTTCATATGTATTTAATCGATCCAAGCGAAGGTTTCCAAGTAAATTATGTTATCAGACCACGTATTATCACCGTAGTCAGATCGGAAAGCAAACATTATGTCTGACACTACCACGTTTCAAGTAAATGGCCAAAGATTATGTAGTCCCATAAGTACATATTATTAGGATTATCTACGGACCAACTGGTAGTTAAAGAGTCTTGCATTTATGCAATTTTACCGACATCGTGTATTACAAACTGTTATCAAGGTGCCTATCACAAAACTATTTGGTACTGTTATTTGTTAAATAATGTTAGGTTGTGTTAATGACTTTATGAATACGAAACACTGATTTCCGAAAGTATACTGATACGTACCTATATGTAAAAGTAGATGTACTTAATACCTTACCACGGCAAATATATGGAAATTGCGAAGACTCAAAGACATATTAGAACCGTTAAAATAAAGAAAAGAAATGTGTCAAGAATGCCCATCTCAATAGGCTACATAGCCATTATGACTTTATTTTCTTTAACGACATACTTTTATGGGCTTTATGAAGTGTGCCCAACCTATCTCATACTCTCACATGCTATGAGATTCTTGCACATTCATCAATCTTTATGTATGCTAACACCATAAATAAAGGTTGGAATACATCTCGGTTCTATTCACCGTGTTATATAGTTGTGCATGTAAATGTACCGGCTTCGAATGCACGCTCAACTTCCAAAGCTCTTGAACTAATACCTTGTACGTGGGAGTAATACGTAACTTTTAGTAGTTTACACACAAATAG